TTTGTATCCATTGTTTATGACTCGCAACGGGTAAATGACCGAAGACCCGATATATAGAAAGCGGCCGCTGATTGGTCAAAATCTAAGAGGTCAAGAGGCGGGGTCTTGCCTAATTAATCAGCGAATCTGCTCACATATCATAGACCATGGCTTTCGCCATAGACTAAATAGGTTGATCGCAAACAGTCATCAAACAGGGGAGATATTTGCCTCACGGCCTCGCGAGGTAGAACTCAGCAAAAGTTAACCACACTCGGTGATATTTTTGAGCTACATGCAACGGCGGATCCAGGGACCAACGGGGGCCATGCCCCCCTTAAAAAAAAACCCGAAAACAAACCCAAAGGTTTTTTTAAGTGACGTCGCAAAAAAGGCAGTTACTGCGTACACCACAATCTTTTACTAAAACAACTTGGTTAAAGTGGTCAGAAATTGCCTTGGATCGCACACAGAGCATCTATAGAATCCATAAAAGTTCCGGGTCCCTAAAGCGGGCCCCGAACATCACCCTGTAAAGTTTTGAATCATCTTTTTTGGAGAAACACATTTTTGTTTGCTCCCCCCCCCCCCAAAAAAAAAAAATGTGTTCTGGATGTGCCCTTGGCTACGTGCTGAGCAAATGGCCTCCAACGACTTTTTGCTCAGCACGTAGCTCTCGTGTGCGGGGGGCTTAAGGTATTTCTTCCGATTTCTCAAATTGCTGCTGCCTTCTATGGAAATGCATGATACAAAGAAAATAATTATTTCAGGGTCTTTTTGCTGTTTTGTTTCGGTGACTAAAAGACGCTACATAATCCAAGGATTTGAAAACAATTGTCCAACGTTGGCCATTACTGAAAATAATTTTTCTACCAATCTTAAGATATTTCATCGGTAATGCAATAATTTCTTAAATTGCTTTTGCCTTCAGTTACAATTCACAATTTTAAAGGGGGGAAATTATTATTCCAGGGCCGTTTTCTCAAGACCAGTGGAGCTTGAACTTATGAGATAGCTCCAAGGAAAATTTGAAACTGTCGGTGGCCTTCCTGTCGCTTTCTTCAATACCGTCAAAAGGTTTTAGCGTCTCACGTCTAGACTTTCTTTACCCATTAGGTGCAGTTTTGAACCCACGGGGGGTAATTGAACATTGAATAAGGGGGCATGTAATTATAATCTTGGATTATCCTTAAATAACGAGGTGGCCTAGTCAGTTTGGATTAATATCTTGACGGGTTCCACTGGGGGTGATTTCTTTGTCGGTTTGTCCTTCGGTGAAATAACAGGAAAATTTGGCAAGGTTCCAGAGGGGCAGTCTTGTACCCATCTCACTGAGTAACTAAGGCCACTCAAACCTATTTGCTTGGTCTATGACAAGCTTTACCGGGCCTGCCTATAGTCTTGTATAAGCTCGAAAGAACTTCTGAGAGGAGGCCAAATTCTACCTGATTTTATAAGACGAAATTTGACTGTTTGTTGCTTGATTGGTTGGTGCAAGGTATGAAGCCTGGAGAGTTTTGCTCAGTCATTAATAGAAAGTTTGTGATGGGATTAGGGATTGGCATACCAAATCAGGACAGGTTCATTATTTGACTTGCCCTCTAGGTATAGCTCAACAACTTCGATTATTTGAGGGGTCCAACTTGGTGTCAAGTCGTTTGCAAAAGAAAACGGAACAGAGAACAACACTCGGCAATTTTGAGTACGCTATGGCAAACACTGGGATTTCCGTCGTCAGTGCAAATATAAAGTGACGTTTCTTATGAAGCCATTTGGTACTGCTTACTTAGGTGATGGTATTATGCATGCTGAGGGCCACTTTACTGCCTTTTTATCCCCCAGGAAGTTTTAAGCCAGAAAGCTAGGGGGATATTGCGATAGTGTATTCCTTCTGTGTGTCCGTCCCTGTGCTACATGTTGGTTAGGTTAACTGTTTAGTGCTGTCATATGAAAAGTCAATTTTCATAGACAAAACCAAGTTTGGTTGAGATTTCAATCTCAACCAAACTTGGTGACAATAATCTTTGGGTAGGGGGGACTTCAGATGATTTGAGACATTTGAGGTCCAAGGTCAACTAGGGGTCAAAATGAGGTCATTGTTGGTTTTGGTTAGGTAAACTGAAAAAGTCGGACTTCACTCTCAACTAAACGGTCACAATAATCTTTAGTAGTAGGGGGACTTCAGATGACTTGAGACATTTGAGGTCAAAGGTCATTAGGGGTCATATGAGGTCACCGTTGATTTTGGTTAGGTAAACTGAAAAGTGTGCTTACTAACTTACTGTATAAATACTGCCACCATGCCAGGGGATCACGCAAGTTTAACTTGCCGTATTTTGTATTCGGAGACTGTACACGCCAATAGTGTGCCAAGTAACTTGGGGAAAACGCTCATTGATGAGATTTTAAGCCTTTCATTATAGGTGTAAGGAGATTTAGTTGCATTTTTCGATGCAAAAGCCCAAAGTTGGGGTTCATATACATGTATTAGTATCGCTGATGGGTTTCACTTAATGTTTCAACCTTTCATAACTTTTGTTTTGCAGTTGTGGAAATGAACATCGCCACGTAACGGGTCAATGTCAGTCGGTGCTTTGTTATTAAAACGATTGACGTCAGGACCATGCATTTCAATTTTGCAAGACGGACACAAAATCGGCAGAACACCCCACTCCCCCATCAAAATTCCCAGCTATGTTCAAGCTCAAGCCATAATGTCATGAATGTTGGCTTGTACGCTGCAAGAAGTTGCTCAGTATATTTTTGACTACTTTGTGAACAGGAGTTCCTCTCTCGTATCCGCTGAGTTTTGGAAAGCATGTGTTTGAAAACCTTTCAATGTGTACTTGAGGATATATAACTTGAACCAAAGATTTCATTATTTACGGAAACGTCTGAACGTATCACATAGTCGCCCGGGATCGGAGGCGATTTGAATTCTGCATCGGATATTTCCGCGCATCGTCGTCAATACGCAACGTTGCAAACCTTTGCCTTCAGCGAAACGGCAAAAAAGTTGAGAAATATTAATCATCGACCACAAATAATCTTGTCCTTTTTTATTTTTTTTATTTTTTTTATTTCTTGGCTATGACGCTTCGTCACGCCGTGTGTAGGCTAGCACCGCAGGGGACTATACAAATCGTGGTGCCAAACCGCACAATGCTGGTACATGTAGCAATGTTGAATGCACTATGATATTGAAAAAAAGAACAGCCATATTTCAATGTGACAAATCATCCGTCAAAACAAATCCAAAAACTAGCATGACTCAGACAGAGATCAAAACCTTGACCCATATACAATTCATGTTCAAGTGAACGCCTGAATGTTGTTAAGTAATTGAAAAAGAAGAACAATACCGGGCTCAGTGGCGCACCCAGGATTTGGCTTTGGGGGCTCAAACAATTTTTTTTTTTTTCAAAAGAATTTGAACAACTTTTTTTACCGCAGAATTTTTAAAAAAAAAATCGGGGGGGGGGGGAACATTTTGACATCATGAAAATAGGCCACATAGGCCTACCCACCAAGGTCAAAATCGTGGGACTAAAAAAAATTACCAAAAAAAAAATAACACCCCCCCCCCTTGGGTGCGCCACTGACCGGGCTGTGTTTAGCCATCCGCCGTTTGCCAAGTATAGCCTTTTTGAAATATGTCGGACAAAATAGGAGCGCACTGTTGGAAGTGGGTAAACTCTTTATATTTACCAAAATTTACCCAAGCTAAATACGCTCTCGTTTTGTGTCCTGCAGATCTTCAACAGAATATTGCTTGTCTGTGTCTTTGTCAGTCAACCTATCTTATTTTTGTCATCGCAACCCTCTTCCAATGTCCAGCTGCTACAATAAGTGTGCTTAATTTTCTTCCAAATTGGGCGTCATAAGTAATAACAAACTTAACATTGGATGTACCTACATTAACTCGCGACCACACAACCTAAATTTGACAATGAATTTCTGGTAAGTTCAAACTAAATGATGGTCCATCGTGGGCAACGTTACGTCATAGTGAGGCAGATAGGAGAAATATTTGGGGGAATTGTGCCTTGGATGATCACAAGCTAGGCATTTAGCAAACGGTCAGAATATGTCTTAAGAAAGATATTTGGTTATAGCCTATAGGGCCTTCGGAGATATGTCCTTAGAAAAAAATATACGGCCTAGGTAGAATAACAAAGCAATTTTCAAAATGTTCAAACTGGCTGCCATTGCTTGTTATTCTACCCATAGTTTTCAAAGGACAAATCTGCGATGGGCCTTTATCTAAATATCTTTCTCATGACATACTTTGATTGCGTGCCAAATTCCATACAGGTAGCAAACAAGGCACAAACCCATCAGATGGGATTGTGCCTGCTGCCGTTGTGCAAGAACCAAAGTTTTGCAAAGAGCAACATGCTGTAGCCAAGCACTTGTCCTGTGAATTTCATGTCATTGCTGTCTGTCTTCGTTCGTTAAGTGTCGCAGTCTCTTATTCGGAAACTGTTGTAATCTCCTGTCCACGGGATTTGGCGTCCAATTGACAAATCCTTTTGAATGACAGTTGAATGGAAGCAATTTCCAGGAAATGCCTGCATAAAGATGTGATCATAAATTGGGAGGGCCTGTAGTAGTACTGTACCCAGGCCATATGAAAGTAATACGTGACTATAAATTAGGCCAACTTTTAGTGACCCGGCACGAAACCTTTTTCGTGTGTGTGTATAAGGTCAGTCGGATAAACTTCTTATTTGTGATAAACTTGTTTCCATGCCAGACAAATATGTCGCCTTTGGGCCTGAAATTTATCAAGTACCCCAACGCCATAGCCACAGCGTGTGCGATCAACCAGACGCGTGTCCACAATAGTCTCAGGGACTTGTCTGCACAGATCCACTGACGCAAACACGTACACTCACCCACCCACGGCTTTAACTTTTCACAAGGGAGACGACCAGGCCGCTTTCTGTTTTATTGTTTGGGGAACACAAAAGACCCTCCGTCGGAGCTGGGTTTATTTGCATGTGCGCTTTGCGTGAGAGGGCACTTTCTCCCTACACGCCTAGCATTTTATTGGTTTTCCCATAGAGTGTGCAGTCGTTCTATCGGCCTCGCTAAACCCTCCGCCTTTCTCTGTACAATTACACAATGACAGCTGATGAATAGATAAATAGCCTATGTACCGAGTTCGCGTCTGCGCTGTGGGTTGGTAGTCATAGACGTAGCTAAGCGTGTGACCCTGCGGTAGCTATATCATAATATACTGACGATACACATTGCATGATTTCATCAATACTCATTACGGTCCCTTATGGCGGTCGCATGGTGAACTAGCATATCTCTTTAAGCGGTGGGATCGCCGTAACGTAGCCTGCCTTCAAACATGGCGTTCTGGAAGAGGCGAAGCCGGGGATCTTTCGCACCGTCATCCAACGACAGGATGGCTGCTATCTACCTGGGCCGGCATCCCGTGACGGACAACGCAGGCTTGGATGATGCGTCCACGGCACTGGACACGCTGTACCAAACTTACAAGGATGGCAAAGAACAGGCTCAGCGCGTGACAGTGGAAGTCATCGTCAATGGATTGGTCATCAACAAAATCAAGGGGTTCTCGCCCCCATCAAACCCCTCCTCAGACGGTAGCAACCGCATCCTCCTAACGGCAGTCAAGATGTTTTTTGGGGCTACGGATCCCGCTCGCCCTAAAGTCTTCTTTATCATGAAGAGGAGTGTGGACGAAGCAAACTCCGGCGATAGATACGAGTGTCACGCGTTTCTATGCGACTCCCCAACCGCGGCCAAAACGCTGACCTTACAACTGGTGGAAATGTTCAAAAACGTGGGAGAGCCCGAAACCCAGTTGGCCTATAGCAAAAGTTACGACTACGCCACGATGCGATCCAATCCACAGCAAATCAGGGAGAAGGGCCTTCTAAGGACTCAATCGCTCAACCTGCCTCGGTCACGTGGTCGGACCGAAGCCGTCTCGACCCTCAAGATCACCATGAATGTGGAGCACGGTGAACAACACAGCCTCCGAGAGGCCAACAACAATTCAGAAATTGCTCGGCTCATAGCCAAGCGGGAGAACGAGCAATCAGCCCGGTCTGAGGCGGCTGATTATCCGATGAGGGGTAGTGACAGTCCCGCCTTGGAGAGGTCCAAGCGACCCGCTTCATCATCACCTGAGCCCCGGAGTACCGTTGACATGGTACCAAGTGATGAAAGCCCAGACCGCAAGACCACTCACAAACCCATAGTGACATTCAACCCAAACAAGCCCGACTCGCCCAGCAAACTACTCCGAGAATCGCAGCTGTCGACAGTCAAGGAGCAAAGTCCAAGCTCCAGCCCAAAGTCCAGCCCCAAGGAGAGAAAAATGAACGTCAAGAAAACAGAGGTAACCAAGGAGAATCAGGAGAACATCTCGGACAAGGCCAACAAGAGAAAATCGGTGCGTTTCGCAGACGATGCCGAGATCATTTGAGGATGAATAATAATTGTGTTGAGGGTCAATGTTGTGTAAACGTCATATTTGGACCATCGGAGCGAATAAACCCGCGAAGCCAGTAAATTTGGAGCCATGTATAATAAGCGGCATGTACATGTCATGTGTTCATTTAATAATTGATGACATCCACCATTTTGGGAATGAAGAACTCTGTGTGGGTGTGTATTACATAATACACTGGTAAACAAAATGTGAGAACCAGCGAAACAAGTTGAAGATGAATCGAAATTCCGCATATTGTTTCTTTAATGCAGGGTAACTTGTGTGTGTGTGTTTTCCTAACCAAAACTAATTTTGTAGCTTTTGTGTCAAAGATTCCGAATTTTAATTTATGTTTGTTTTTCGCAGGGTACCATTCAATGTGAAAAGCCTGTACCTTTTGACAGTGTTTTAAAATGTATATGCTCTATGAAAATGTTGATAGCATTTTACTAATTACGTTGACTTTAATCTGATAAGTACAACCAAGAACAAGTTGACAGGTATCCGTTAAAATTAACAATCATTCCACGAAACAACAGGCACCATGCATTTATTATTTTTTTAAATACATTTAGGCCGAGAATTCGAAGTCTGACGTTTTTATCTCACAGTTGAATTCCAGAGTCTTATTTTCTGACCACACACCTGCCTCCAATATGTAAAACATAATCCCATTACATTTTATTTATGCTAACCTGTGCTGTTGCGTGCATGTACTTTTTTTTTTTAACTCATCCTGTGGGAAGTGTGTCACAGTTAAAACTACATGTACATGTAGTTGCTTTTTGAAAGATACCTGTATTTTATTTGCAAACAGTGGCGGTACCAGACTAAATATATGCGGGTTATGCGATGGAAAATATGTAAGCATTCAAGTAGCAATAAACGGGATACAAATTTGGTTACTGCCTTGAAAAGGTTTGCTTCTCACGACATGTCGATTGAGAACAAGGTGAAGCTGATTACTCCCATAATGTTTTACACTTTGAAATCTTCATCATGTATCGTGCTTTCTGTGCTCGTACGAACTGCATTCATGTGCGTGGACATTGTGTAAGCACAGTAATCCACATGCTAATGCCGTCTGTAAACATGCATAGGCAATTAGATTTTATTGATTTTTGCTTGTGATTTTTGATGGAATTTCGCGTCATATGGTTGTTACATATGCGTCTAGGTCTGCAGCATGCATCTGTGCAAGCTGCGAGGCATTAATTTGTAGGCATATGATGGAGTATTTTGTAAATTTTGCGACTGAATTCAACGAAAAACTTCTAAAAAAAGTGTCTGTCTCCATATTCTATATGCTAGTCTGAGTTACAGTTCTGTTAACATTTTCTGATAGGAAACCAGCGTAAATGTTTATTTTTGTTTGATACGTGTATATATCAAATAAGGATTATTTTCTTACGATGCGGTCGAAATTATCTTACAAATAATATCTTGAAATTGGGAACCAGTGTCGGTTAGCCTGTGAACACAATTGTTATCGTGACGTGTGCCTTGGTATGTTTTCACGGCCATGAGCTTTGATCAGACTCCACGTCATGTTATTATTATTATTATACTTTACTAAGTAAACTAGTTACTCAGTATCATCCTGTACCATTGTTGTTGCCATTGTGCCAATGTTGAACTCCTTGTTGAGAACAAGAGGGCAGGGCACAGAAATACAGACTTTGTTATTACTGTCCAGGCGATGCGCGCAATTGTTCGCGTAATATTAATTTATTTTCGTTTAGCTTGCGCGGTCAAAGAGTCAAAGTATCATTGTGCAAATAGAAATGAGGTCGGGGTATGAACCACGGGTGCACACCCAACTAAGAGTTTCCACGGAGAGCTTCATTTTTGGAACTATAGTATTACCAGTAATCGGCTGTTTTGTTGGTAACATTTCGCAGATTTGCAAAAGAGTACATGTATTACAACTGTACCAGTAATTTATGTTTGTTCGTGGACATTTCCCTCCATATAGTCGCAGAATTTACATGTGAATCTTTTATTCTGCCATGGTTGATCTTCTCGCTTGAATGAAGCAAACTCATGCATAGGCTTTATTCCTAAGACATTTTCAGTGGAAATATTATTCGTGCTTAATTGAACACACCTTTCAAATTTGGGAGCAACATTGGCAAGCAATAAACCTTTATCATGCTGCCACCACTTCAGTCATGTTTCCTGTATCCAATAACAGTATTGAATGATAATGTTTTTGTGCAAAAAGGAACCAGACTATTTGTCCTTCCAGCCTCGGTTACATTGATTTGAATGGGAAAAAGTCACATGGCTGCAACATGATAATGGTCTATAAGATTGAACTTATAGGGGCATTTTCCCCATGCATGATAGACAGTGACAAATTTCTTCAAATTGTCATGTACATGTATAAATATCGACATTCAAAACTGCACACAAATTGGAAAAGAAATTGTTTGATTTGCTGGTACGAAACGGTTAGTTCATTGGAATTAATCTGATCGTTATAAGGCTGATGAGTTTTTATATGCCACACAAGTATGGTTTTTTTTTGGGGGGGGGGGCATAAGAGAAATGACACAGTTGCTTTAATTCAGTATGCAAATAATTCCGTGGTTACTGACGAGCGGTTTCTTGGTGCTTCAAAGCAAATACTGTTCATACATACTAGTACCATACCCGTATCTTTCTCTTCGTAAATATTATGGGAGAGAACGCAAATGACAACAGGTTAATTGTCAATTACTAATTTTCTGTTAGTAAATGAACCAAATTCGGATCTTTAATAAGCAGCAAAAAGTTGATACTGTAATTAAGATGAAGCATTGGTAACATTTTTGCCAGTTTAATGCATTGTATAAAGGACAAATATGTGATCTGGACAGGCGTTATTTGTATGATCGATGCTCTAAAAAAAGAAAATGAAGAGTTTATTTCCAAAACGTGACATACGCCATTTTGTTCCCTTTTAGAATCCTGCTCTCTCTGAGCTGCCCATGCATAATCCATTTTAAAGACTGTTATACAGGGTGAGTAAAAAAAAAAAACCCGAAACCCAAATGTCGGGACTATTGTTTTATTAAAGTTCTGCATGTAGCACTTTCAAAATCGAGTATATAAAAGCCCAATTAGCCCAATTCATAAGCTTTCTTTTAGTACAAGAATCATTCAAATCACTCATGTAGTTTTTAAGTTACGGAATTTTAAACACAACCACCGTTTTAAGGTTCTGTCCACGGATCACCAAACAGGTGTGCGTTCTTTCAGCAAAACGAAAACAATTCACACACATCCATCCCTATATCATTTGTTCGTTTTGCTGAAACCGTGAAAGAACACTTATTTTTTTTGCGATCCGTGGACAGAACCTTTAAACGGTGGTTGTGTTTAAAATTCCGAAACTTGAAAAGTACATAAGTGATTTGAATGATTCTTGTATTAAAGAAAGCTTATGAATTGGACCTTCATACCCTAGATTTTAAAAATGCTACATGCAGAACTTCCTTAAAACAATGGTCCCAACATATGGGTTTCGTTTTTCTACTCGCCCTGTATGTATACATTGTGTGTACTTAAACACAAATAGTTCAGCAATAAAGCGATACTGAAGTTTAGAAACATTGTATTTATTCGTTAAAGTTTCATAACCTTCCAAAATGTTTCCCTTTCTAAAATGGCTATGTGGCTTTTTTGGTTTGGAAATACAGTGTTGAAATGTCGTTTGATTGCTACCTAAATACTTAAAATTTAAGATCATTTCGATTGACCGTTTTGTATGTTTTCCCCCTGTAAACTACCGTTATATTAATCGATAATTTGGCTAACGCCCGCGGCAGTTTTAATGTTTTTTTAATTTTATGTTTAGGAGTTCAGAGCGAAATTAAATCAACATTTCGATCGGCCTTCTAAGTTCTAGGATCGTCTTCGACACTGGAAATAAATAATTCCACAGCAAACGCAGATTGAAACGATCAAGAGATAAAAACGAAACCTGATCCCTCATAGAATATTTCTAACTCCAAAAAGTAGCTTTTCAAATGGTTTCATTTCCTCATTCTTGTGTGTCTCGCTATGCAACGAACCACCTCAACTTGGATGTGTTAAATTTGTTCTGGCATTTGAACAAAAACGATGAATCAGTCATCGTCAGCTACAATGTAGGTATGGGGAAAAAAGGAAAAGGGTACAATGTTCCTTGTCATATTTACACATGTAGATCGAAAATGACAAGGAAAAATCATTTGGCCTTCACCTTTGTGTATTTTGTATGACGCCTACGTCACCACCGGCAGCATGACCTATTGCTGATACACGGTGATCGACGGAGCGCCCATTTGGTATGGTTTCGGCTGGTTGGGCATTGGGCTGGGGAAAGGGACTAAATATTTACTCAAAATGGGCGCGCCTTAATCCTTTCATTGTGAAATTGGCTTAGGTAACGTGTGTAATACAAGATGGTCGTGTTTGCTTGGTACTCCTGGGGGGAAACGTATTCTGAAAGGGCTGTCTGGTGATGTGGGCATGCAAACTCATGGGTGGCAAAAACTGTTTGTTTTGAAGTAGGAGGGGATAATATAACGGTTTCTAACTCCAGAAGCCTAAAGAATTGCATATCATTTGTACATGGAAGACTAAGGCTTGCTAAGCATATAAACAGGTTACCAGTCAAAATGTAGTGCATATCGATACTCACTGGTTGTCTGATGTTTTTTTGTACATATATTTCCAGAGTAATTTGCAGCTCCTTATATAAACAGGGGCGGATCGCGGGGGGGGGGGGAGTTACATATGTTGTAACTCCCCCTCCCCCGTTTTGGCCGCAAAAAGAAAATAGGAAAATCATTCAGACAAACTCAGCACATGCCTGCTACCCCCTACCCCCACAGCTTGAGCTAAAACTAAATCCGCCCCTGATTTGTCCCCGTTTATAGGCCTATGCTTCATCCAGAGCATAATTGTAATCTATGAGATCCCCAAAGAACTGGGTCCAATGTGACGAAGCTGCTAAGCATAATATAACGCTTAGCAAATCTGCGTGCCAAGCAAGCGGAACTGAGAAGCCTTCATAAGTAATTGACATCAGAGAACATTTGGGTTTGTGATCTGTTTTTGCTGAGCAAATATGTTTGAGTCTAAGCTCATTTCTGTACCTAAATTCGCTTCTGTTCATGCATGGAAGACAACATTGTTTTGGTAAAGACTCAAGACGTACGTTTTAGTGTTAAGCTATTTTCAACGAACACGTTGTCGATTGGCACTCAATTGGCAGCAAAACCAGACAATCTGCCTCAATAAGTGCTTAGTTGTGTCAGACTGTTTTGCGTAAAAGAAGTTGTTATACAGCATAGTAACACTTTTTAAAATATAAGGATTCAATGGACATTTTATTGTTTTAAAATTAGATAGCCGTGCACATTTTCCGTTTACATGAGTATAGTATTTGATACGTAAAAAACTGCAAATGTAAAGAAATGTAAATGAATGAATTTATAGATAGCAACATATGGAATAAGGATATGGGAAGATGACCTGTGCTTAGCCCGGCATTAATTCAAGGCTCTTCAAGGCAATGTCTTGATGAAGCATCAATTATTACAGTTAATATGCGCCTCTCTCGACTCACTGCATGGTTAATTAGCGGTTCCATGTCACTGTCACGCAGTAACATCATGAATACTTAAACAGGAAGCAGACCATCACAGAACGTGTACTTAAAAGCATACGTGACATTGTATATGATCATTTGCTTCTCATGCATTTTGTTTATTTCCAATAATAACACCACTCAAATTCCAACCTGTTAAAAACTAACCTGTCGAGTTTCAGCTCAGTGGGTTTACACTTTCGAGGAAAGAGTGAAACCATGCACTTTCTTTTTGATCACGAAACACGATTCGTCAATAGAACTCTTTTTTTTCCCTAAAGATCAATTGCATGATAGTTGGAATGGAAATCACCTACAATTCTTGGTTTCTTCTTAATGACCGTGAGCAAGCTAGACGGAATAAGTATGTTTATTGGGGTGTTCAGTACCGGTACGATCTTTAATCCAAGTAAGCTTTTTGATGATAATTCGGGAGGTTACAATTGGGATAAATTCAAATGATCCTGTCTGCCTTTAATATACCCTCGAGTGCGAAATGTACCTCTATAAGAACCAATTTGGGATCTTCATGCCCGTAATAAGTGAGTGCCTTAAATTTTAGTTGTTTTAAAAGGAACAACTTCTTGTTTTTCTTGTTTTCAATTAATTTGTTTTATTATTTGATCAGTATGTATACTGAGTTTCTTTAACGGAAGTTAAATTGTTGAAACAGGAATTGTAAATGTAAATTTAAAATAATAAATTGTTGGGCTTTTTCATGGTCGCTTACTTAAGCAACTCCTTGTATGCATGCATGGCGATCTATCAATGATAACCACAACTGGTGTCCGCACCAGAGTTTTCCATGCGGGAGACGCGGGAACCAGCACGTGGCTGATGCGGTTACCATGCCGACCAGACGGAGACTAAAAATAGAAAGTTTGGAAAAGGTCAGAATCCGTGCAGGCTGTGATGGATCGATTTTCGCGGTAATAACATGTTGGGTTCACACGACGAGCACCTAATTATCGAGGAAGGAAAATCC